ACTAGTATAGCTGGATTTTGAGGTACATAGATTCCCAACTTTCTGAGGAACTGTCATATTGATTTCCATAGTGGCTGTACAAGTTTGCATTCCCACTAGTAATGGAGACGTGTTCTCCTTTCTCCACATCCTCACCAGTCACTAGTGACATTGATTTGAGTTCTGACATTCTGCCAAGTATAAGATGTAGTTTTAATTTGCATTTCCCTGAGAGCTAAGAATGTTGCATACTTAAGTATTTCTCAACCATTTGAGAGTTCTTTATTGAAAATTTCCCTCTAAATTTGTATTTCATGTTTTAATTGGATCATTTGGTTTTTTGATATCTAGTTTCTTGAGATATATCTCAAGAATATATAGGATGTTAGTCGTCTCTCAGATGTGGAGTTCGTAAAAATCTTTTCCCATTCTGTAGGCTGCCTGCCGCCTTTGTCCAATTGACAGTGTCCTTTGCTTAGCAGAAGCTTTTCAGTTTCATGAAGTCCCATTTATTAGTTTTTTACCTTAATGCCTGTGCTATCCATGTTCTGTTCAGGAAGTTGTCTCCTATGCCAATGCATTCAGAGTTATTCTCTACGTTCTCTTTTATCAGTGTATCTGGTTTTATGTTGATCCACTGAGACTTGAATTTTGTGCAGGGTGATAAATATGGATCTATTTGCATTCTTCTACATGCAGACATCAGTTTGGCCAGCACCGTTTGTTGAAAATGTTGTCTTTTTTTTTCCAGTGTGTATTTCTGGCTTCTCTATCAAAAATCAGGTGTCCATAGGCATGGGAATTTATGTCTGGGTCTTCAGTTCGATTCCATTGATCAGCATGTCTGTTTTTATGCCAATACCATGTAGTCTTTTTTATTACTGTAGCTCTGTAGTACAGCTTCAAGTCAAGGATGGTGATACCTCCAGAAGTTCTCTTACTGTTCAGGATTGTTTTAGCCATCCTAGGTTTTTGTTTTTTCTATAAGATGTTGAGAATTGTTCTTTCAAGATCTGTAAATAATTATGTTGGAATTTTGATGGGGATTGCATTGAATCTGTAGGTTGCTTTTGGTAGGATGGCCATTTTAACTATGTTAATCCTACTAATTTGTGAGCATGGGAGATCTTTCCATCTTCTGATATTTTCTTCAATTTCTTTCTTCAAAGATTGTAAGTTTTTAGCATAGATACCTTTCACTTGCTTGATTAGAGTTAATCCAAGATATTTTATATTATTTGAGGCTATTGTGAAGAATGTTGTTTCCCTGATTTCTTTCTCAGTCCATTTGTCATTTGTATACAGAAGTGCTACTGGAGA